GCATTCTGACCAAAAGCAACTTGGGAAGGAAAGGGTCTATTCCAGTTTACACTCCCAGGTGACAGTCTATCACTGAGGGAAGTCATGGCAGGAACTCAAACAGGCACTGATGCAGAAGTCAGCAAGGGATGCTGCTTATTGACTTGCTCTCTCCAGCTCATGCTCAGCTGGATTTCTTCTACAGCCCAGACCCACCCACGTAGGGATGATGCCACCTACAGTGGGCTGGGTGGGCCCTCACACATCAATCAACTATCAAGATAATCGGTCACAGAGAAGGCCACAGGTCAATCTGATCTGAGCAATCCATCAATTGAGAGTCCCTTTTCCCAGGTGACTTGGCTGAATCAAGTTGACGATAAAAACTAACCAGGACATGGGGTGTTACAGGATATCTCATACAGAATTATTCATATGGAGTAAACAAACATATCTCTGAATTCCGTGCTGCGTGGGAGTCACACGAATCAAGCAATCCACTGGTCTTGGTCTAGGCATTCTCCATGCTCCATCATAGGAGACAAGTATTGCAAGTATTGCACTTTCTCCTATTGCCAGAGAAAGTAAAGCCACTGACCATTTTGCCCTCCACAGCCAATGATTAAACTTAGCAGGTTTGTGACAGATTACCTCCCTCTCATGACTGTCTCTTGTGACTGTGTAGAGCAATGTGTCCTTGGGATGTTGAAGTGTGATTTTTCTGTGGGTTTTTCCCCCTGCCTTTATTTAATTTAAAGAAATTTATTTAAAAAACATTTTATTTACTATTTTTATTTTATGTGTATGAGTGCATTGCCTGCATGTGTGTTAAGTGCATCTGTGTTGTGCAGTGCCCACGGAGGTCAGAAGAGGGCATCGGATCCCCTGGAACTGGAGTTATGGATGGCTGTTAGATGCTCTGTGGGTGCCAGGAACCGAACCTGGGTTCTCTGCAAGAGCAGCCAGTGCTCTTAACTGCTGAGCCTTCTGTCCAGCCCCCACCCCCAGAGTAGTTTAGTCCTTCACACCAGACCTCCAGTGTGCCCCTGAGCCTACTCGGAAAGACAATGAAGAATGTGATGCATTTCTCCTCTAAAGCTAACTTGTGATGCCAGGAGAGCCTCTTTCAGACAAATTCCCATTCGGGATTCAAAGGCTGTGAGAGGAGATTTCCTCCTGCAGTGAAGATTACCAGTCAGTTTTAGCCGCCTGGGCCACCTGCAGTCTTTGGGCTTGCTCTGTTTGTGAGGTCATGTTCCGCTCCTGCCAGGTGGCCAGGTTCGAAGGTGGGGGTTTCTTTGCAGCTTGCTGGGCTGTCTTCTTGCTTCTCGTGTTTTCCATCTTGATTTTCAGCTTTCCTACCTGATATTTCTCTGGAATGGAGCTGCTCTTCTGTTCGTGGCTCTTCTTGCTTGCAGAGACATGCAAAGAATAAGTCCATTCCACCATCTCACACCAGAACTTAAAAAATGTATTTTTAAGAATTTATCAATTTGATCTTTCTTCCTCTTAAAAAGATTATTTTTATTGTTATTTGTTTTTTTTTTAATGTATGTATTTTACCTGCATGTATGGATGTACTTCAAGTGTGTGCCTGGTGCTTGCAGAGGTCAGAAAGGGCATCAGATCCCCTGGAACTGGAGTTACAGATGGTTATCAGTTGCCATGTGGGTGCTGGGAGCTGAACCCAGGTCTTCTGCAAGAACTGCCAATGCTCTTAACTGCTGAGCCATCTCTCCAGCCCTGATCTTTCTTTTATATTGGCGTTTATAGTGCCATGAATTTCCCTATGACTTCCTTCTGCTCTGGCTGTTCTGCGTCCCAGTTTTAGATATTATAATTTGTTCCCTTTTAAAGTATCTTATAATTTACCACATGATATTTGTCTGAACCATTGCTGTGCAAGTCTCTGTTGCTTCAGTGGTCTTGATTTAGCCATGGTGTAATGTATGCACAGATCAAAACATTGCATTGTATTCCATTAGTATGTATAATTTTTATGTGTCAGTAGAGAAAATGTTTGACAAGCGTGTTAATCAGAGATTCTTTGCATGAGTTTAATACTTAGAAATCTATCAGCAATTATTTTGTGCCGTAACATATGGCCTAACCCGGTGAGTGCTCCACGGGCCCCTCAGAAGAATGTGCGTCCTGCTGCTGCTGAGTGCAGAATTGTTGGCTACAGTGCGTCTCGTGTCAGCAGCCCAGGGACTATCTTTATGGGCGTTTTTAGTTTTTCCAGTATTGGGGGCACTCGTGTCTTCTCCTTCCTTGCAGGGAAAAGGCTTGTACCTTCCACTGCACCTTCTCCTAAAGGTGTGTCTCATTGCTAGAACACAGCTAGCTTCAGTTCGCTTCCTTTCTTTTTGTGTGCATGTGTATGATTGTGCATGAGACCTATGTGTGTGCACACGCAAGTTGCATGTGCATGCATGTATGTATGCGAGAGGTCAACAATGGATGTCCTCCTCAGTCTCTTTCCATGTATGTATGTATGTATGTATGTATGTATGTATGTATGTAATTTGTTTATTGAGACAGGGTCTCGCCATAGCCTCAGCTACCTGGAACTCACTATGTAGATGATCAGGCTGACATAGGTTTCACAGATATCCACCTGCCTCTACTTCTCAAGTGCTGGGATTAAAGATGTGTGCCACCATGTCTGGTTTCCACCTAATTATTTGAGACATGGTCTCTAACGACTCAACCTGAAGCTCATGATTTGCTTAGACTGGTTTCCTGGTGAGTTTCAGGGATCTGCCTGTGTCCACCCCTCTCCCACCACTGGGGTTACAGACATGAGCCACCATTCTTAACTTCTATGTGGGTGCTAGGGATACAAACTCAGGTCCTCATGATTGTACAGCAAGCCACTTTACTAGCTGAGCCATCTCCCTGCCCCCTCCTTTCTTTCTTGATTATCTCAGAAAGAATATTCAGATTGCAGGACTGAAGTTTGCCACCATGTGGGGCTTGCAATGCAATTCCCAAAGGACGCAGCCTCAATGCCAACCTCATGCCCCTCCCTCCTGGATCTGCCTGATATTGATATCACAGCTGCCAGTGTAATGTGTCTGCTGCTCATGTCAGTCTCAGTACCCACCAGCTGCTAAGCTGAGTCCCCAAGTGGCTTCTAGGATGGGCTGGGCCAAGAAATGAAGTGGGGGAGGAGAGGAGAGAGAAAAAGTCCAGCTCCTTTACAACCCTGGTAATCACAAACGTGTGCAGAGTTCCAAGCATCATAGAATCTAAGATTCTAAAAGCTGAGATTCCAATATCTGAATCGTGGGTTCAGAAGTTTGACTGTCACGTTGCTCTAGAATTGTAATATTCACTGGGTTTGAGGAGGCACGACCATGGTGCGTGCTGTTTGATCCCGATGCCAGGCTGTTAATACATTTGTAATACAGGGTGCGGCTCTTTGGACTCATCCTTATCTCTGTTTTCAGGAACAGAAAACAACCATTCATGGATCCCAGTTGTATGATGTAGATAACAGGAATTGAGAAACACGAGAACTGTAGACTGTTATGCAACTGGCAGAGTTCGGGAGAACGGATTGCCCACCTCTTTATCTCTATCACTAGCTCTGAAAGTGCGCGTGTGTGCGCATGTGTGTGTGTGTGTGTGTGTGTGTGTGTATGTGTGTGTCCATTCATGGATCCCAGTTGTATGATGTAGATAACAGGAATTGAGAAACACGAGAACTGTAGACTGTTATGCAACTGGCAGAGTTCGGGAGAACGGATTGCCCACTTCTTTATCTCTATCACTAGCTCTGAAAGTGCGCGTGTGTGCATGTGTGTGTGTGTGTGTGTGTGTGTGTGTGTGTGTAGCATTTTGTTTAAGAGTTATAGACATGGTCTTTGCACTCGCAAACTCACAGCAGCCGTGGTCAAGCCAGTTAACATTCAGTGTGGATGGGAGATGGGCTCATGAGGCCCCACCTCTAGCTGAGGAACGATTGGCAGTTGATGGCTGATGGGGGAAGGGGAATCTCTTTTCTCCTGAGGTATGACTGCTGGTATTGCCTGGCTACAGAGGATGAACTCATACTTGTGACATGTGGACAGTACTAATTGAACTCTGTGAATCATTCATGGTGGGGGGTGAACGTGGGTGAAGGGTGTATTGGAGAGAGTCTGGGAGAAATGGAAGGGGGGAGTTGGGGTGGATACAATCAAGATCCATTATATAGATGTATGACATTATTAATGAATAAATAAAAATATTCTTTAAAAAATAAGAATCACAGAGATTCCAGGCCAGTGTGTACTGCTGTTGAGATTGTGCAATGCTCTGTTATCCACTTGTATGAGGATTTATAATAGTATATTTGAGAGTAGGAAGCATGTTTTTGAAACTCTTAGCTGCCTTTTACAGCTGATCCCAGATCCATCAGAGAGAGACTTTGGATACCCATGGCAGAAGATGTGTTTATGCATACCCCAAGGAGACATGAGGGATACCCACAGCACAGCTATAAATCAGCACACACAAACTTGTGGCCATGTGCTGATCCAAAGTTTTCCTGGCCTCTGAGCTTGTCTTTCTCCCCTATAGACATCATTAGCAGCCCTGATTCCAGTTCTCCAGACTGACTTTGAGTCAGAAATATTGACTTTACCTGGGCCGCAGGTGATGATGCCCAGGAAATAAATTCTACATAGTGGATCAAAGTGTGGGCAAGTGTGTGGTAAAGTCCAATAAGCTGCCTGCCAGTGTTCTGGAAATACCTTTAGCCAGGGTGGTGTGGTAATAGACTATTATCTTGTTGTATTTGAGGTGCAGTGACATCTAAAAGCCTGCTCAAGGCCAGGGGGCATAGATCTGTGTCCAAGTGCTCACTGAGCTCTTGGGTTCTGTGATGCTTCAGTAAACTAAGACTAAATAAACTTTATAAGCTCCAGAATGTGACTCACTAATAAAATGGGTTTGAACACCATTTCCCTTCCCATGGGTTTGTTAGTATTAAGTGAGATCACAGGGCACTTTCAGCACAGACTTGACAAAGAATATTTGTTTAATAAATAATGCATATTTATTATTATTATTACTATTCACAGCATAGTAAGGTCCCTTCCTCTTATCTTACTTTTGAAAAGGAAAAAAGCTTGTTATGTTTTTTCTTTCTCTCTTGTACATGTCTCCCTTTCCTTCTACTTAAGCCCCACCACCCACACTAGCCTGATCCCCATCCCTCCCTTTCCCCTCACCCTGCCCTGGCACAGCTCTGACTCAGCGAGGCAGGAAACTCATGGTGTAGGTTGGTGGGATTGTAGCAAAACCCACGTGTTTGGGGGACACATCGATATCCTGGGGTGCCTGTGGGGACCTGAAGCAGAAGTTCTGCAAGATGTTTGTGAGAAAGAGAAAGAGCTCCATTCTAGCCAGTCCTTCCCCAAAGCAGTACCGTTTTCCTAAAGAGGAGAAGAGACAAGACAAAGGTGAAGCCAGCTTCCCCCATCGCTCACTGAAGTACCCGCCCTTGTCCCCCTCCCCACTGCTTCATCCTCTAAGCCAGGAGGGGCTGCAGGATTGTGGCCCGAGATCTTCAGGGTCTCTTACCAATGGAAAAGGGCACAAAAGCATCACTCTTCTTAAACTGCCCCTTGTCATCCAAGAAGTGCTTCGGGTTGAAATCTCTAGGGTTGGAGAAGAACTTGGGGTCTCTCAGCACAGAGCCCAGCATAGGGAATACTTCAGTGCCCTGGCAGGGACGAAGAAGAAGATTTGATAAGACAAGTTTGAGGGTGAGCATCTTGAGGGTCCACAGGGGTTAGATGGGTGAGTTAGATGGGTGAGTTTCCTAGGTAAAGATAAGGGTAACATGGGAGTTGGGGTCCTCTGAGAAAGCAGCTTTGAGGAATATAAGGTTATTATCTTTGAGACAGAAAGTTTGGGGGAGGTTGGGTTCATGCTATCTGGGACAGGATAGTTGAGTGACATGGGGTCTGTTTTCTAGGGCAGGAGATTGAAGGAAGTCATGTTTCTCAAGTAAGGATTCCTGGAAGGTACTGGCTTTTATGCAGGATCTATGTCAGACATGAGATACTTGTCCTTAAGACAGGAGATAGCTCCTAGGCAAATGAAGTTTGTATTTCTTGAGACTCGATGATTGAAAGACATGTGGTTGAAATTCCTGAGTCAGATAGTCTATGGAAAAAACCAATACATAAGAGTTTCGAAGTGAGTAGGTAGAGGGGCATAATGGTAAGGAGGGTCTGGAAGGTTTCTAATGAGGATGAGGTTCTGGAGTCCCCAGGGCGAAGGTTAGAGATCCTTATAGGCTGGGTAGGGCAGCACCTTGGGGATAAGGAAATCCCGAAACTTGGTGTCCTTAGTAACCCTGCGAGCCAGGCCCATGGGGATCATGTCTCCAAATCTCTGGATCTCATGGATCACAGCTTCAGTGTAAGGCATCTTCATGCGGTCCTCAAACTTGGGCTGCCGGTTCTTGCCAATCACCCGATCAATCTCCTCGTGGACTTTGGCTGAGGAAAACAGGAACAGAAGAGCCTTATAGCAGGGGTGAGTCCCCAAATACGAAACGTGATGGATGTCATGGAGCATTGTATGACACTGCGGACCCTCCACAACTGATGGTAGTCACAGGTATTGCTGAAGAAGGTCTGGTTAACCTGATCACACCAGAATCATATGGGAGTTGCAAGGAAGGAGCTTGATGTGATTTACGGTCTTGGGGAACAAGTGGTGGGGCTCTGAAGTTTAGATGAGCAATATACCAGGTTTGGACCCTACCAATATTTTTAGCAACTATTGAGACTTAGCTGGTGCCGAGCAAGGGTTCTTTTGTCTCTGCACAGCAGGGACATATCTCAGAGTCCAGTTTCTACACAGAGGTGGGGTTATTACAGCAGGATCACAGAAGCAAGCTGAGTACTCTCTAGCCCCACATTTTCCTGTTCCCTTCAGTCTTACCCTCCACATCTGGGTTTCTCATGAGTAGTAGGAAGCCATAGCGAAGTGTGGTGCTGACCGTCTCTGTGCCCGCAAAGAAGAGGTTCAGTGTCGTGAGCACCAGGTTCTTCATGTAGAACTCTGTGTTGGGGTTCTTCTTCTCCTGCAGGGAGGGAGAAATTCAAGTCCAACCCACTCCTTATGCTTTTGATGACCTCCTGGAGTTTTTCCTTGAACTCAGTTCTTTTAGGCTCAGACCTAAAAGAGGGGCCTCCTCTCTCATTCAATCCCCAGCTGACTAGTTGATCTTTAATGTTTAGCTTCATTGTCAGTTTTCAAATGGTAGAAAAGAGAAAAGGTGGCTGGAGAAAGACTGAGAAGCAATGGGCAGAGATGCTGTGGGAGAATGAGATAGAGAAATACAGACAGATTTGCTAAAACAGACACAGAGTTATAGGCAACAACACCGTATTTCTTAAGTTAAAAAAATTCCTGCAAAGGAATCCCATCCCTCAATCCTGCAAACTTCATACTACATAAAATTCCATCTCAGCTGGATGTGGTGGCACGTGCCTGTAATTCCAGCCCTCAGGAGACAGGAGGATCGCTACAAGTTTGAGACTAGCCTGGGCTACATAGCAATTTCCAGGCCATCGAGAGCTCCAGGGCAAGACCCCGTCTTAGAAAACAAAATGAAACAAAGTCAAACAAAAAAACCACCTCTATGTCCACCCTGCATAGATGCGAGAAGGTCATGCAGGAATGTCTGGGGCCCTGCAAAGTCACATAATAACATCAGGTCACCTGTTCCACACAGATGTATATGACAGTGAGGACAGGCAGAGTTAGAAGCTGTGGCGACTAAAAGCATCAGTCTGAGTCAGAGTGACTAGGTTTGAGGGAGGATGCACAGCCTTCTCGTGTGATGTCAAGTGAACCACCTAAGCGCTCAGGGTCACAGTCTCCTCATCTGTAAAACTGGAATCATACCAGAACCTTGCTCAGGAGCTGTTTTTGTGCTGATGGGTGAATGCCGTTAAGCTCTTAAAACAGTGCCTGGTACATGGCAGTGCCGTAGAGTTGCTACTATGGTTTTGCCATCGTTCTGTGAATGGGGGTCAGGGGGCCAGTATACGGAGCTGTTATGTTGGATGATGAGTATGTGATGATTATAATGATGGCACCAATTTGAATGGTCCTCTGTTCATTCCCAGCCCGATTTCATTCTGCTTAGTTTTGAACCTCCCACTCTGCCCCTAGCTGCTGGAGTTACCTCCCGCATTCGGATGAGGAAGGAATCGATGAAGTCCCTTGGGGAATTGGGGTCCAGGGTGCGCTGGTTGTGCTCCACTTTCTTGGTTATGAAGTCCTCCAGCCCCTGCAGCTCCTTAAAGGCTTGTTGCTGTGGTCCCGGCAGGTGCTTCATCACCGAAGAGAACATCTCGTAGAGCTGGGGGAAGTGGGCGGTGTGTGAAAAATGAAGAAAGCTGTCAGTGGGCAAAACTCTATGGATGTGACATTTATCTCAAAGCAAGAAAGATTCAAGTCACCTGTCCGGGTGTTTAGACATTCAGATGGTTAGGATGGTAAAATTCATCTAAGTTTTCTTACAGTTTAAGCATGAGGGTTATTGTTCAAGCATTTAGGTGAGATGGATTTGGGCACACATGCAGGTTTCAGGTTGAGGCTGGGTTGGAAGATATCCAGTTGTTGGATGGCAGTTACCTATGTAGGTGTTCAGGTGTTCAGCTGGAGAGAGCTGTTAATATGCTTACAGGCTTTGGATTGGGGAATTTTAACAAGTGTCCCAGCATTAAAATAGTGCTGGATAGTCATGATAGCTAAATTATGAAACCAACCTAGGTGTGCAACAATGGAGTAATGGATAAAGAAAATATGGTATGTGTATACAATGGATGGGCATTTTCTCAGCCATAAAGAACAAAGTGATGCCATTTACAGGAAAATGGATACAACTGGAGATAATATCATATTAAGTGAATTCAGCTAGTTTCAGGAAGACAAATATCATGTGTTTTCTTCCATTTGTGGTAGTTACATAAAATCTCTCTCTCTCTCTCTCTCTCTCTCTCTCTCTCTCTCTCTCTGTATATATATGACATAAAAACAGATGTAAACCTCTCTAGGGGTGAAAGGGCTAACAGGAGGAGGAGGGGTCAGAAAAGGAACATAAAAGGTACAGGGAATATATTCTGCATACAATATATGCTTGTATGAAAAATTCAAAAATAGGCTGGGTATGGTAGTGCATGCCTTTAATCCCAGCACTTGGGAGTCAGTCAGAGGCAGGTGGGTCTCTGTGAGTTCAAGGTCAACCTGTCTACATAGTGGGTTCCAGACATGGGGAGACCTTGTCTCAAAAACAGAGAGAAATATTTGAAAATAAATATTTTTTTACAAAAGCAGGGCTGGTTAGTTATTCAAATGACTGCACAGAAGGGACTATTTAGGTGTGTCAGTGAGCTGCACTAGTTGGGTGATGGGGGATGTTTTGTCCAAAAATTTTGTTTGGGAATGCAAGTTTTTAGATATTTAAACGGACTGTCTTTTTAGATATTTAAATGGACTGTCAAATGATTTGAGTGGCTTGGATTTTGCAGCATTGTGCCTTGGGGAATTTGGAAGGGGGCTGTGGTAGACACTTGCCCAGCTGTTATGATATTCACCAGGCTTGGGTGTAGGGAGGATCTGTTAGAGATTAAATTGGTATGGTAACACCTGCCCAGCTGAGGGAGCTGAGTGCAGGGCATGTATTCTGCCTGCTGACTCTGTTTCTAGGGGCATCTGTTGAGATAGCCAGGTGTCTCTGGGGACTGGGTATTGGACGTCTGTTGTGGTGCAACATTTCAGGTGTACAAGGACCCGGGCTAGTTTGAGGGACCTGTCTGAAAGAGAGTGGTGGTTTGGGACCCTTGATGTCCTGTGAGAGTGAGCAGCTGTGGTAGGGGAGTGGTAGGGCAAAGCAGGGACAGGTTTACCTGCCCTGTGGAGGTGGCGGTGAACTGGAAGCTTCCCAGCATCATCCTCAGGAGTGACAGGAACTCTTTGTCCTCATAGTCGAAGCGGTCCCCAAAGACAATGGAGCTAATGACGTTGGAGACTGTTCGGCTCAGGTAGAAGGTGGGATCAATGAACGTGCCTGTGAGTGGGGAGGGGAGGGAGGGGGAGACTTTAGAACTGGGAAAAAGACATCATCCGGGAGGTCTGATACCCGTCCGAGAATTCAGAAAGGGCGTTTTAGTGATGAGCTCAAATCCTAGTACCAAACACCACCGCCCCCGCCCCCAAGCTGGGACTGCGGCGCCCTCCCCAACTTGGTTCCCTGACAACAGGAATGTCCTTTGCAGAGGGTGTTTTCCTCTTCCGTCCTGGTCCTGTGAACTTTGGGCGGCGCTGCTCACCGTTCGTTTTCCGGAAGGCATCGATGAGGAAGCCAGCCTCCTCTTGGATGCGCTCCTCGATGCCACGTTTGCCCACTCCGAAGTCCCGCAGCGTGGTGATGGAGAAGCGCCGGAGCTGCTTGGCGCGCTCACCGTTGCTAAAGGCAACGCCTGGGGAGGTGAGTGAGGGGCGGGGAGAGGTCAGAGAAGACGGGCGTGGCTGGCCACTGACCACCCCCGCCGGCTCCCTGGAGAAGGGGAGAAGAGAAGGAAGCCCTCTGAGCAGAGCGGCAGGAGCCAGAAATGCAAACGCAAAACACAGGCAGCGCCACAAAACTACAGATAAAGAAACAGAGTTAGAAGATAATCAGGAGAGATGGCAGAGGACCGGGCAGGGCAGGAGAAGCAAAGACGCACGCCAAAGAAAGGGATGAAGGGGAGAGAGAGAGAGAGAGAGAGAGAGAGAGAGAGAGAGAGAGAGATTTTGCCAATGTAACTTACTAAGAAATGATGTGCTTTCAGGGAGGGAGAGAGAGAGAGAAAGGGAGGGAGGGAAGGAGGGAGGGAGGGAGGATATGAGAATGAATGGAGAACCACATAGACTGACAGAAAGAAAAGAAACCCGCTCTAGATAAAGTTAGTGGAGCAGGATTCCAACAGAAATATCAAGAAGTTCTAAGCGATGGAAAGATGCAGAAAAAGAAGACATTAAGGGAGACCAGGGAGACGGAGGTAGAGAAGAAGGAGGAAGACTGAGACTACTACCATCAGTGGATCTGAGACCTGACAGCTGAAAGGCAGCAAGAACAAATTCTATACACCCTTGAGGGGATGGAAGAATCCAGGGAGAAGGCGGGGGAAACCGAGGCCATCAAATCTCCCTTGCCATATTCCCCTGCGTGCTGTCACCCTCACCGTAGCCCTTGAAGAGCCAGTCGAAGGTGGCCTGCTCGCCTCGCCCACTGAATTCCTCAGCTTGATCCACCAGGGCCTCCTTAACTGCCTCCTGTCCACACAGCACCACGATTGGGCGAGGTCCCAGGTGGATGGTGAACACAGGACCATAGCGCTCACTGATCTGATGGAGGTGGGTGAGAGGTTAGAGGGGTAGTCAACCAAACTAGCATCCCCCCACTCCCTCACTTCATCTCCCTGCCAAGGGGCACCTTCATGAGGGAGTTGTACATCTGCTCTGTGTTTAGTTGTAGGTAGTTCCCGATGAAAGGCAATGGTGTGGGTCCTGGAGGCATCTTCCCCAAGAGCTTCCTCTGCTTCCAGACAGACATCAAGACCATGACAGTCAGACAGGCCAGCACAGCCACCAGGAGCAGCCCGGAGGCCAACATGGTGGCAGTGAGAGTGACAGGCTGATGGTGATGTCTGAAATGGTTTACCTTTATACATCCAGGGATAGAAGGCTGGCCTTTGCTCCTGATTACACAATGGTCTCATTTCACCTCCAGACTACCCCCCACCATGTACCTAGTTTGGAACATAGCCAGCAATCAAGGAGGAGGAGGTGGGGGGAGGAGGACCTCAGGGAACATAAGTGGGAGTAGGCCTCCAGACTGAATTTGTGGCTTCTAAGGAGGAAGTACTTCAGGGCTGTGCAGTGTAGAGGGATACACCTCAGAACTGAAGCCTTTAGAATATTTGCATTGCAGACCTCCTAAGCTTTTGGGTGTGAGTTCTGAGGCTGAGAAGGGAGCCCAAAGGGTCCCTTAGGGTCTGAGGAGAGAAGAACCTTAAGATCTCTATTTTATTAGCATGAGTCAGGATGTATGCAGTTATGAATTTGGGAGTGTACGTCAGGGCTATGGGTTGAGAATCTTGGGTTGAGAAGGACCCCCAGCTATGGATGGGGAGTTTTAGGAAGAAGCATATGGAAAGCTCAGGAGGATCTTGAAGTCAGTACCTGAGCCCAGGTGTGGACGTACTTTGACTTTGCTCCCATGCTGTCTCTTGATGCCCTGAATCTTTGGGAATGTCTCAAAGTGAATCTAGAGTGGACCCCCCAGAACATAGACTCTGGGAAGGTTGGGGAGACCACAGTCAAATTTCAGCAGAACGTTTCACAAAACTGGAGACAACAGCTAAGTTCACAGTTGTTAGAGGATCTGACTGTATCTTGGGAAATAGTAATAACAACCACCAATATGGTAGAAAAGTTTCAACTGTCCCAACCAAGGGTTCTAATTTACAGAAAGCACCACTGGAGCCAGATCCTTAGGAGAGTGCACCAGCCTCATCGAGTCATTTCTGTTGTTGCTGTTACTGTTATTTCTAATGTTTCCCATTTTCCATACGAACACGGAGGACGTCACACAGAAGGTAGCACGGAGCATGAGGTGCATACAAAGCCCTTAAGCCAAAAAGTATCAGACTTCCCTCTGCCCTACTTTACATTCTCAGCTTCCCTTTTCTGGACTTTTCTGTCCCCATCGTTGAGAAGGGATCATGGGAGGAGTAAAGATCATATTTGGTGGTCTAATTCCTAGAGTTTCAGGGAGCTATTATTACCAGGCAGAGAGAACTAAAGTGGAGAAACTTGGGTAAACATCCAGTGAGGAATACAAGTAGACCCTGGGATACCGAGGGTGAGCACCGAGGAAGGAAGAGTGACTGATTGTCCTCCTACATTGAAACTCTTTAATAATAAAACAGCTACTTTGTGATGAGTTTGCACTTCAGAAAGATTATATCTATGTGCACATAATCTGTGGAATCTTAGTAACAGTGGAGTTGGCTCATCTTCAATCTCTTTGAGATTCCCAAGGCAGTAAAGGAACTGGGATTTGACTCTCTTTCTTCCCTTCCTTGACCGGCCCAGCCCATCCTGGGAACAACATGGGAACTAATCTTAGCACAGGTGGGTGCTGAAATTGGGATCAGCAGTAGATACAGACATTACACTGGCAGTTGTGGTGTCAATATCAGACAGATTCGGGAGGGAGGGGTATGAGGTTGGCATTGAGATTGCCCTCCACCCCCAGGCATACACTAAAATGGGAAAGAAGTTAACATTGAGCATGATACCAAGAGAATATTAGTAGAATCACTTCTGGTGCTGAGAGGGCTTTGAGAGCGGATGCAGGGGGCCATTGGAGTTGCCGGATTGAAGGTGTAAGTGTGGCCCCATATAAGCTCTGGGTTTGGTTGTAGTAGGTTCTTACATAAATCCTAGTTAGTTGTTGAAATTGACCTCAGGTACTTGTTGAAATCTAGCCCATGGGAGGGGCGTCAGGTGGGCACTGGCATGCTTCGGTGGGTGGACCATCCAGGATGGTGCCCTTTGGCTTTGGACAAGTGGAGGTGGGTGAGGTTGGCACTCCCAGCAATGGCATTTTGCTCACCTCATTTGAGGATGCTGGACTCTTGAGACCTGTGGGGGAGGGAATAAAGGACAGAGAAAAAAGCAGAGAGGAAAGTTTGTTGATTTTGGAGGGGGAAGAGGTGGGAAATAGGATTAGCCTAGGTTCTTCAGGTATTGGTCTCTCTGTAATCCTGATTACCAGTTTGCACCTGGACTGGCCCCGGGCCTGGGCTTCTCCTCCCCCTCATTTTCACTTCAATAGGAGGAGGGGAGTAATTTGGAGAATTTGTTTGTCAAGGAAGGACCCTGGGTGTTAAGTAAAGGGAGCAGGTGGGAGTGTCAGAATGGGAACAGAACTTGGAGGGAGGGAGAGGGAGAGAGAGGAGAGAGGAAGATATCAAGTGGGTTTTCCCTTATTGATTTTGCGGACACATGAATGAGAGATCAATACCTGAAGTCACATGGGAGAGACACGGGCACATGAATGAGGGATCAGTGTCTAAAATCACCCCGGGAGACATGTGCCGGTGGAACGTCTAAGGACAGGCTTCCAGAATAAGATAACAATGAGCTCAGAGAAGGTCTTTCTCTTTACTGGACCTCAGTTTCTCATTCCGAATGAGTGGGTAAGAGCAAGGGTAAAATTGGTACCTTGGCAGATACCAATCTCCCTCCAATCCTCTTTGTTGTCTGACCTTGAAGTACTGATTTCACCAAAGAACTCAGCCTTAGGGGCCCACGGACTGCATCTGTCTCTTGATAGCAATGTATCAGTTAATGCCTGTTTAATGCAAAGGTCAATAAATATGAACTATTATATTCATTTACTGTTACTACATTTTATTAATCTGTGAGAAAAAAGAAATGGGTTAGTGTTACTCTAAACATCAATCTGGCTTTGCAGTCTCTACTTTTTATTGTAGCATTCAAGGGTCCAGTTGTAGGTGACACCATTGATGTCTTTTCTCCCTCAGAGGCTGCAGAGCCCCTTCCAGCACTGTGAAAGCTAGCCAGCAGGGCAAATTCCCTGCTTAGTCCAAGACTGATTTCCCCATGTCCTGCAACCAAAGTATGTGGGGTCTTCAGCAACAGGGCCTCACCTTCTGGTTATAATGGTCAACAAAGAGCAATGGCAATAACCTGTTTTGTTTTGGTTGCCTCTGGGGCCTCCCTAAAGTTCCCAAAGTTTTCCCTTCCCTTTGGGAAAGAGGGTTTCTGAGAGACCTCCCTCCTATCACTTCTTGCCAAGCCAAGTGTTACCCCCCTGGAGTTGTGAATAGGAAATTTATCTAGGTGGCCTCTACCTGGAGGGTTGGCATTCCAGTAGGTGATAGTTGAGGAACCACAGATTAGCACTGAGTGCTCAGATTGTTCTGCATGGAGCCGGACTTTGATTAGCTGCCCATCTTTCCTTGTGTCAGACTGTGCTCATGTTTTCTTTCTCTGCTCCTGAAAACCACTGTTGCCCTTAAGTTTCCTCTGTGCTTCCGGATGTCTTTGTGTTGTGCTTTTGATCAGTGGGGTATGACAGGTGCCTCTGCCATGCTTAGCTTTGTTTACACTTTCTTCTTTGTGTCTTTCTGGATACCCACTTGCAGTCTCTGCTGAAATGTATGTTTCAGCTTGTCCGTATTGATAAATTTCTGTTTGTACTAGTCTTTGTTGGGTGTGTTTGGGGTGCATAATAAGTTGGCATCCAGTTTATGAGTTCATCTTCACACTGCATCTGATTTTGTGTGTGTGTGTGTGTGTGTGTGTGTGTGTGTTCATGCCAGTGTGTCTGAATGCCCAGAAGTCTTTGCATATATATAACTTAAGTGCATATTTGCCTTGGGATATGTCCATTGTAGAATGTCTACCTTCTGTATTTTGAGTCTATTCTGGTGAATGACTGTATATTTACATTTCCGTAAATATTGTGCATGCCCAATTATGTAACTGCTTATAACTGAATGGGATATGTTGTCATATTTTGGTATACATATACAGGCACATGGAGCCGTATTATACATAGGTAAGCATTTGATACCTGTCCCTCCTTGTCTGTGTTTGAATTGAAACACAGTACTGGATCAGCTCCATTTCTCTTCTTAACAAACAAGTAACACCCACTTTTTTTTTAAAAAACAGTATTTACTTACCTCAGCTTTCAAGAGTCAGAGGAGGTTGAAATGCTTCTGTGAGACCAGTATGGACTAGAATGTCCTGTTCCCAAGATTCCTTGATCTCCACTGGATACATTTAAGTATCCTCTCAAAAATTATTTCCCAGGATATCACCTCAAACCTCTTAAGCCATTCAACACATTGGACAGACTCATTCAGTTAGTGTTGACTAAACTATGCCAGTTCTGTGCTGGGTGACACAGGTGATCGGAGCCATGGGCCCGTCTCACCGAAGGCTTATGACCACAGCAGAAGACAGTAACAGCTCAGAATGAACACTAATGTGAGGAAAGGCAAAAGCAGAGGGGCCAGGCTGGGTGGGGAAGAAATAGGTGTTTGTAGGAACCTAGAAATGGTATCTGACTGAACTTGGTGTATTTAGGCTAGGACACGAAAAGGATAGTAGGGGTTTATCATGGGAGGGTAGAGAGAGTTAGGAGATAGAGTTACAGGCAGAAGGAACAGCATTTATTAGGGAACTGTGTTCATTGTTGATTAAAATTAGAGCTCTGATCCCGTGTTCACTGATAAGCCTGGGGCACTGGTGTGAGCCAAATCACACGGAGCTTTATATAATTTGGCGAGGAGCCTGGATTTCATTAAAAAATATTTTATTTATTATTTTTCTTTGATATGTATGAGTGTTTTGCCTGCATGTAAGTACACCCGTGTTGTGCGAAGCCCGTAAAGGCCAGAAGAGGGTGTTGGATACCCCTGGAACTGGAGTTACAGATGATTATCAGCCACCATGTGGGTGCTGGGAATCGAACACAAGTCCTCTGGAAGAAAAGTAAGTGTTCTCAACTACTGAGTCATCTCTCCAGCCTCCCTTGGACTTCATTTTGAAGCAACAGGGAGCCAAAGAAAATTTAATAAGGGTAACAAGATGGCCATATGTGTGTTTCAGAAAGAT